TGAGAAGCTCTGAATTGGATTTGAAACCAAATAGAGGGGTTTAGGTCAATCTGGGTCAACCCAGGTTGACCTAGTCAACCAAGTTGAGGGTTTGGGTCAGGGCTCAACAGACTTGGTTTGATCCACTGAACAGATTGGGAGGGATCTTGGGGCCTGGCCTGGTCAATTTGACCAGGTCAACCCCTTTGACCAGGCTCTAGGAAAAAACAAGGTCAATAAATAGCATAACCCTAACTCTCCCCTTTCTATCTTATTTAAAGCCTTCACAAAAATCTACCCCTAAAATCACCAAATCAGCCCCCCCCCCCCAATCTTGCCCAAACATGAATTCTACTTTTAGGTAAGGGATCTCCTTCAATTAGCCCACTCTCCATCATGCCAAAACAAGCTTCTCAATTTTAGTCGTGAGGCCCATCAATCAGCCGCCCCCTCCTCTTACCTAATCCCCTCTTTCCCTTTCACGTCGTGGGCCCCATGGTCCTGATTTGCTTGCTGCGTGGAGCACCTGGCCTGTGCCGACTGTAAAACAAGGGCAGCACCAGTTATGGGCCGACTGGACTGGTCCTTCTTGGATCAGTTTATCAGTTGCTTAAATGTATAACTTTTTGGACCTCAGGTGACAATTAATCCATGGAGATTTGAGAAGTGGACACTCAACAAGAAAAGAGATCATAGTCAAATGGGAGCGCACTTGCTGAATGGTAGAATCAAATATTTATAGTGAAAGAAGATTGGATGGGACATAAAAACTTGAGAAATTTCATTGAAATATTCTTAAAGTTGGATAGGGAGGTGTATTTTTCTTAAAAGTAAGCATGGTTACTTGCTATTGAGAAAGATTTAGGCTGAAGTTATTTAATAGAGCAGTTTAAATAGGCCTGAGTTTAAGAAAATGTGGAGATGAAAATGTCTTTCATGCCTTTTTAGGAGAAGTTATGGGGGAAGAGTGGAGAGCATGTTCTTTTCAACAAAATTAGGTAGATAAGTTAGAAACTTAGAAGGGTTAATTAATTTATAAGAAACTCTTGAGTATGAATGATGCTTTTTTAATCATACTGTCTTTTCCAATTACCGACATTAACTAACAAAAGGAAGTAATATATCTCTAATCATATTTTAATTAATAATACTGGGATCAATGAAAGTTCCTCATAAAAAAAATTGTTAGTGCAATTCTCTTTGGTTTAATGAAAAATACTATATATTAACACATCAAGAATATATTTTAATTAAACTAAATTTATATTTTCAAAATTTCCCTCTTATGATTGTGAAAGCTGACAGAGGAAGAACATCTGTGGTAGAATCCCATGCTTGTAGAGGTAGAAGAATGAAGGAAGTAAAAAAAATAATGGAGATCAATGGGAACACATGGTTCAACATGTGGATTAGATTGAAAGCCAAGAAACGGCAGAGCCAAGAGGTTGGCATCAGTCACTTTCAAATTTATAACGTCGTAGAAACAAGAAGAAAAGACAGGGAATTTGTCTACTAGCCTCAAAAAATGAGTGGGTACTGAAGGAGAGGAAATCACAGGTATTTTCTATCGTGAGATTTTTAATACAGGCCTTTCAAAACTTTATTATGTTCTCCATATCAACTAGTTAATTAATAACAACACCGAGCATTAGGCCAGACAATATCTTCCTTAGTTCTCAAGGGTAAAAATCTTAAATTTGAATTTGCTCGAATTTGACCAATTTGTCATGCTTAATCTGCTCTGTGCGTGGAGTTTATAGTTTGTAACTTACCTTATGTCATACTTACAATTAAAACGAATATAGGAATAGATTTCTATTCTTAAAAAAAAAATATTAATTAACAACAGAATGCACTCAAACAAAACTTGAAAGAAACAGAAGAGTTATACTCAATTTTTTATTGCTATCATAATAAAAAGGGATTCACGTAAGCTTAACTATTTACATTATCTAGTACTTTGAATGCACTCGCCGGATCTAATCATGCTGGCCCGTTGATGCCTTCTCCTAGCAAGCTCATGAGCGACATCCTCTTCTTCATTGCATGCCACAGCACCTAGACCGGTCGACGTCTGTCACCTCCCATGTAATTTCCTTACTTTATCTGTTGTTAAGGTTTCATGAAGTTCAGTAAAAGCAGTAGAGAGGGTGAGAAAACAGAGAGATAGGGGGCGATTGAGGGGAGTGCAAGGACGAGGCAACCAATGGCATGTAAAGGGCAGCGGGACTAGCAGCATGCTTATGGGGTGACATGAGATGTTATTTTTTATTTTTATTTTGATGTTCTGAATGCTATGTATGTAAATAGTGAAATTTATGTAATCAACATGTAAAACTTAATATTTTAACAGTTATGTATCTAAATCCCCCAATAAAAATGAATGAAGAGTAATGATCAGGTGAGATAGCTAAATAGAAGCCACATCAACAAAATAAATAAGCATTTAATGCATCAATCATATTCAGAGCCAAATTCAAAAAATGTACATGAATATGTTATATGTCAGCACTTTAATTTTACAGCAGGAAAAAAAAAGGCTAGTTAAGTAGCTTAAGATGAAAAAAGAATAAACCACTCGATTGCTAATTAAGATAATAAACAATGAAACCTGTTCTAACAAAGCAACAACTATAAGAATGCAGGATAATGGTTCTTCTAATTACATTGAAACAAGTAAATAAGAGTAAAAAACTGTAGTTAAGACATTTTCTCACCATATAATACATAAATCAATTTTACTAACAAAAGAATCAATAGATAATGAGATTTAACTCCTAAAGAATCAAATAATAACAAAGATTAAAACATTCAAACTAACAAAATTAGCAATAATTAGGCCATTAGTGCCCATCATTAAAGAATATGAAAGAAATATTGTGTAGAGACAACAAAGGATTTCTTGAATTCAGCTGACATAATTTTTAGCATTGCTTAATTTGAGAGGAGAACAAGCAGCTTCACAACTTTGATATGTAAGGCGTTAGATAATTGCAAATAAAATAGAAGTATCTTACAATTTTGGTCTTACACAAGTTTTAAGCAGTTATCATAATTCAACATGTACATCATAAATTCCTGCGGTTAAAAAAAAGAAAAGATTTAGAAGAGCCTCAGAGATTTGAACAGTATGCAGTAAACCTTAGAAAAGGCAATTTGCTAAAGAGCATAGCCTTGCATTGGGTACCCATATACCCACCCACCCAATGGGTATGGGTGTTTATGGGTACACCCATGTCCTTGTGGGTGGGTACTCAACATGCGTCGGGGGATAAATCGATTTAATTACGAATCACTGTATATCTTATATTACTGCAATCCTCACTACGTAGTGTGCAACACTTAACCACGCTGCGACTATGATAAATTCTGATATGCTGCTTGAAAGCTTGCAATCATAGTAAAGGGCAATAAGCCTCAAGAACATCAGCCTGTGGCAGATTGCGTTCAAAAAGTATGGAAAGTAGGTGGGTATAGGAGGGTACGACATCGTGATAGTCACCATGGGTAGGTGTGGGTGGGCAAAGCCCGTCCGAGTAAAGCATTGGTACCCAACGGGTACCCAATCAGGACCCCATGTAAGGCTTTGCTAAATAGCTAGAAAGGTTATCAGCAATCTTTCAAAATTGAAATTAATCATGCTTTTGCCACACAAGAGAAAAAGTTCAAAAAACTCGTATTATGACAGATGAACGTTTGATTCACAACGACAAAATTCAAAAAAGAGTACCTGATGGCCAAGTTTGCTGATATGATCAAAGAAGAAAAAGATGCCCCATCACCTTTAGCTAGCTTAATCCATAGCAAGTGGCAGATAAAGACTGATGCCGGTTAATTTGATAGGACTCCAAGAGACGTTTATCATTCAACAATTTCATATTTCACTAATCCTGTACAAAAATGGCATGCACAAAGAAACAATGCAGAACCACCTTTTTTCATGTATACCTAAGAAAAAGACAATAGGAAAAAATTAAGAAGACGCCAACCTTGAGCCGAGATGACCAAGACTTAAGATCGGATTAAATATTATTTTTTTGAGTCAATTTAGGAAAAATGCTTATCTGCAAGAGTTATTGTAGAATTGTTATAAAAAATAGATTTTAAAGTTATTGTGGGTATTATAAATTTTTCTTTAGAAAAAAACAAAACGATTAGAAATGATCTAAAAAGATATGGTTAGATAGTATTACAAATGACATTTTTATTAGATTTAAATGAGAATTTCTCTTAATAGGACATAATGAAGAGAAATGATTCATTAGCTGACCCCACGTAGTGGGTTAAAGGCTTGATGTTATTGTTGTTGAAGAAAAAATTAAAGCAATAATAGACTTTTATAACTATCACATTCTAGTATATTTGATTATAAAAAATTATTTTCCATCGCAAAAAAAAAATCTCAAAAATAGAAAGAAAGCTATAACCAAACAAGACTTTGATAACTATTTGAAAAGCAAATTTTTTTCAAAAAGGCACCATATGAACCCTCGATTAGAGCTAGCCTTTGTTCACCGACATCAATTCAAGTTCAATCTTCCAAATCATTAAATTTTAGATAATTTTGCCAATCTTCGAGTCATTCAAAATGCCGACCTTCAATCCATATATAAATTCATACATGTTACACACATGAGTGCATGCATATATAAACACAAATATGCATAAAAAGTAGATTTATACAACCGTGTGCATATTAAAAACACATGATCTAATATCAAGATTTCAATTTGTCATTCCTCACTTGAATTTTCATTCGAGTTTGAATGGAAGTTGTAGGAGAATTTAAGGGTAAATGCTCATATTATACATAGCTACATATGACAATTTTTAAATTTAGGATGGCAAGAGACACCCAATCTCACTCGAATTCCACCGTTGCTCTCCGTTCACTATTTCATAGCCTGATAACAGCCAAAAGGTGATTCAATATTTGATCTATTATGATCAAAGTTTATAGTCTTTTATGGATGATATAATTTAATACTTTTCTCAAGGAGTGCCAAATTGAGATTCAGTACTTCATGACAAAAACAAAGGTGCATATGCTCTTTATTTTGTAAGACCAAAACATCAGGAATCTGTTAATAATTTAACATGCTCTTTCTATAGTAATACAAATCAAGTAAACCAGTGCCTGTAACCAATCCTTCAGTCTGCATAGCCACTAATATACATATAAGAGCCCAGGGTTCAAATCCTAATTAATGCTGGAACATCAAACAATAAATAGTTTCCCTATTCTAACTAGCCAGTTTGAATATGTTTAGATAGAGCTCTTATTGTTGGTATGTTGTTGTTTATCAACTGCAGCAACCATCTGATTTTGCTGCATCATTTGTGGTCCATAAGTGCAAATGTTCATCACCTACAAAGAAGCTAAAGCGTCACACTCATCCCAAGAGTTACCAAAGAAAAAGGCTTTGTTTGAGACGGCTTTCTTACTGCTTCTTAAAACAACTTTCTAGTACAAAAGTTAAAATTTTTGTACTCAAAAGCTGCTTTAAAAACAGTAAAAAAGCCGTCAGAAATGAAGCCTAAATTACCAAAAAGATTCAAATTCAGAAACCTGAGGAGGCATTTGCATCTGAGGAAAGCCAAAGTAGCTTGAATATTGTTCAGGGATATGAAAGTTATGCATATGGGTAGCAAAATTAATTGAATTTGGGCCTTGAAGAGGGCAAACATGTGGTTGGTTTGATATAGAAGTTCCAAGTGTAGTAGACTGAATATCAGATGATACTTTTGGTGGTTGAACTGGATTTGGTATTGATGTCATTGAATGATGATTCATTGCATTGCCCATGCACGACACGTACTGCTGAATACTAGGAAATAACATTGGCGCCACACCATTTCCCATCCACATTATCTGAGAAGCCGGCAAGAGAGCAAGAGTGTTGAACCTTCTGAATAAAATTTTGATTTATATAATAAAGAAGGATGTAATATGTTTTTCATACCTGAAGTTGTAATTGGAGTGATTTCAAATACTCGATCGCTTCATCAAGCATTGATGCTTTGTCCGACTAAAAAAAAATAAGATAATCACAAAATCAATGCCCAACAAGGTACATGCATCATAAAGTTAATTTAGTTCCTTCTAACATGCCATTTTAGCAAGAGAACTAATTTTCCACAGTATAATAAATATAATAACATGAGAAAGCTTCCTTTGGAATTTTGAAATAGACAATAGAAAAACGATCACACATTTACCTTGTTGCAATGAGGGATGAGCTCTTGCAATGCCCTCATCTTTTCATTGATCTTGTCCCTTCTTCTCTACATGAACCATTTCATGGTGAGAAAATGAAGTACAACTATAAATTATATACATTGTTTACAGAATCCTACCCTCTCTGAGAGATTGTGGATTTCAGCTGAACGACTTCTACGGCCAGATGCAGTTCTCTGAGCTGTCTTGTTTGCCTCTGCTGATTCATACTCAGCTTCCTACACATTAGAAGACTTTGATTTCCTTGAATGAAGAAAGGATGATTTTATGTTTTCTTAAAAACATAAACAAGCAAACCTCACTCTGGCCTTCAGATTCCTCAGCATTTCTTCCCTTCCTCTTAAGTCCATGCTTTGTCGAGCTTCGCCTAGAGCCGCCTGATGATGAAGTAATTGCAGGTTCATATCTGTTTACTTCCAAATGATCGAGTGTAGATCTTGATAGAGAGTCCTTTGCTCCTTTCACACTGCTCAAAGCATGAGTAACCTCAGCTTCGTTTTGAGCTTGGTTGCTTCCACAAACACTTGATAGTATTTTCCTCAATGAGGATGAATCTGCCATGCCAACCACAGCTTCACTACTTGATGCTTCTTCACAAAATTTCCTATTTTCTGATACCAAATCAGCCTTCCTCGGCTTTCTATGGTTTGAGAATTTTACAACAGTGGCGCTATCACCTAAACTAGATTTTGGAGAAAGCATCACATTATCATGAGGATGAAAACAGGATTTCTTAGTACAAACATTACTATCTTCTTTCATTGCCTTATCAGTAGAAATGATTTCTGCAGTTGGCATTCCATAGAAAAATTCTGACAACTCTTTATCCATTGAATTATCTAAAGAATATTGGAACCATGATGTAGCCTCCTCTTCATCAATAAAACTACTTGAATTCACAACTGAATCCCCACATTTCAGTAAGGATTCAGGCTTTTGAGTTTGTTTAGATTCTAAGATGGCCGGCAAGGCTCTATGATTTGTTTGGCCATGCAAGACCCCATGCCGATTTCTCCTCAAAAGCTCTGTTAGTTCACTTTCTGATCTGCAAGAAGATCATAAGAAATAAAAAAATTAAACCCTGAACTTTTTTTTTTTTTAGTTTTCAAATGATGGAACATTTAACATTGATGTAGAGAGGTAAAAAACAACACTAACCCACTGCACTTCTTTTCATTTGTAACAGGAAGACCATAGAACGGTCTAGAATCATCCTCCATTTTCCAATCTGGAACACAGCCATTCATCTCTCTTAAATGAATTCTGATTTTCATATTAAAGAGTAAAGAAAGAAGGATACTGTCAAATTTGATAATCAACTATAAAAAAGAAGAAGACAAGAAGAACATATACACATACTTTTGACATGATTCTCACTATTGCTGTATAGATAAACATACATATATCTACATATACTTAATTTCATGCTAACATTCATATAGATGCTGATTTTTCTTTGTAAAAAATAAGAGCTTTGTAGAAAATACAAGCATAAACGAACCCAAAGAAAAACAATAAAAAAATACAGTCAAGAAGCTCCAAAGATCATGAATTCCTAGTTGTATAGTCACACCAAACACTAAGGCTAAGAACAAAGCTCAACTTGAAGAAACTCATTACTCATATATAAAAGTGCTTCAGTGGAAACTATATATAGAAGCTCAAGAAAAAGAAAAAAAAAACAAAGAGTTTTGCGTTCTAAAATTTAAGCCAACACAGTAGAAAGCAGAGCTTTTAAAACAGACTCAACCAAACAAGAAATATCAAACAACAAATATTTAGGGTGATAACAAACAATCTAAGAACACAATAACTAGAATAAAAAACCAAACAAAGCCTAGGAGAAGAAGAAGAATACTTTTCAAATAAATTTAACCCGAAAGACGAAGCTTTGTAATTCCCAAAAGAGGAATAGTAGGAAGAAAACACAGTTTTGACGAGTTGCAGAAAAAAAGGTCATTTCATGTCATTTACAATGGAACAGGGCACAATAGTATCACAGAAGAGTGGATAGTTTCTGTAGTTAAACAAGATAAAAAATCACAACTGAAGATACAAAGTCACAAAATCTTATAAAAGAAAACTCAAAACAAAAACCCAAGAGAAACCAAAAAAGGAAGAACCTAAAGGGCCTCAGAACCCAACGAATTGGAGAAGAAGGGGAAAAGGGGAAAAGAGAGGAAAGAACAGACCTTTTTCAAGAACAGCCATTTCTCGCTCTTCTGTTCAGCAAGTTTCCTCCTTTCTGGCGTTGCAATGGAGTAGAGGTATAGCTCTCTCTCTCTCTCGCTGGTTTCTGCTTCTTTCCCTCTGTTCCTGTTTAGAATGGTAAGAAGCTCGGTGGGCCGAAGGAGATTTGACAGTGCAGTTCTTTTTAACTTTGGTTTTGCAGTGAACATGACATCATTAACTTGTCGTTTGAAATGTCCTTTTATCGGTACTAATTATCAGGGATTATTATTTAGAAAGTCAAATTTTCTAATTTATTTATTTTTTGTTTTATTCCATGGCAGGATCCGTTAGACATGTGCAATTACAGATATATCCTTGCTGCTCACCTCTTCATTTCTTTCGAAGAAGACTTTCAGAGTCAATTACATTTTGAAAGTAAAACCATTTATTTGTTTATGATTATTTAATTGAAGGAATTTTTAGTAGATTATATTTTAAAGTCTATGAATTTTAAAATTTTGAGTTTTTAGAACTAAAATAATTTTTTAATAAAATTTTAAAAAATTAGAAAAATATTCTATTAATTCATTTGAGACGAGTGAATTTGAAATAAATTGCAAGAGGAAGCAATAATACACTCTAAATTTATTTATTTTAATTTATTTTTATAAGTTTTAAGCAACAAGCAAAAAATCTCTTGAATTTCAAATACATTATATTTATCTTACACATTATTTAAAAAATCTTTGAATTTTAAATGTTTACAACCAAATACCCTTTAGGACTTTTACAATCTAAATTAAATTTTTTGAATGACTTAGAAGAATTATTACAAAAGATACCTCTAGAAGAAAGAGTTTTTATTAGAGGTGATTTAAATGGACATGTTGGTAGAGATGTAGATGATTTTAAAAGCATTCATGATGGCTATGGTTTTGGAACAACAAATGAAGGTGGCAAGATCATATTAGATTTTTGTTTAACTTATGATTTTTCAATTGCTAATACATTATTTAAGAAAAAGAATGAGCATCTCATCACTTATAAAAATAGATGTAGTACAACCCAGATTGACTATTTTCTTATAAGAAAATTAGATCGTTTAGATTGCAAAGATTGTAAAGTTATTTCGAGTGAAAATTTATGTACCCAACATCGATTATTAGTTTTGGACTTTAAGATAAAGGGGCAGATAATAAAAAATAAAGTAAAACAATATTTTAGGATTAGATGGGGCATTTAAAGAATATTAACAAAAATATTTTTTAGAGTAAGATTTTAGTTCTTAAGATTTTATCTGTGCATGAGGATGCCAATGTTATTTGGGAAAAAGTGGCTAGTGATATTAAAAATATTGCAAAAGATGTGTTGGAGTATCAATGGAAAAAGCTCATAATAGTAAAAATAGTTGATGGTGGAATCCAAATGTATAAGAAAAGATTAAAAATAAAAAAATTTGTTATAAAAATTGGTTTAATTTTAAAAATTTTGATAATTGGGAAAGATATAAAGAGGCTCGTAAGGAATCTAAAAAAATAATATGCGATGCAAAGACCTTAGTTTTTAGTGATTTATATAATAAATTATATACTAAGGAGGGAGAAAGATATATGTATAAGTTAGCCAAGCAAAGAGATATGAGTAGTAAGGATTTAGCTCAAGTGAAGTGTATTAAGGATGAAGATAAAAAAATACTTTTCTTAGAAGATGATATTCAACAAAGGTGGATGAGATATTTTACTAAACTTTTTAATAAGAATTGTGAAAATAAGATTGATTATAGTGACCTTAGCACCCTAAATGAAAATAAAGATTTTTGTTTTTATCGGCGTATTAGTAAAACCGAAGTTAGAGAGGCTTTAAAGAAAACATACCAGTGAAATAGATGGGGATATTATCAGCAGAATTCAAGTTTGATGGTTGAAGTGGAGGAATGCATCGGGCTTGTTATGTGATAGAAAAGTACCCCTCAAACTTAAGGGAAAATTCTATAAGATGGTAGTGAGACCTACAATGCTTTATGGTGCTGAATGTTAGCCATTAAAAGAGAAGCTTAATACTAAGTTAAGTGTGGCAGAGATGAGGATGCTCAGGTGGATGAGTGGCTTTACCCTTAGAGATAGGATACGAAATGCGCATATACATGAAAAAGGTTGGAGTAGCTCCAATAGAAGATAATATTAGAGAGTCGCCTTAGATGGTTTGGTCACATAAAACGGCGGCCTTCCAACGACTCGGTTAGGAGAGTAGAGGTATTATATTTGACTTATGTTAAGAAAGGTATAGGCAGACCTAAAAAGACTTGGTTAGAAAATATTAGGAATGACTTTTCTTTATTAGATTTAAACAAGAATTTGACCTTTAATATGACACAATGGAGAATAAGGATTCATGTAGCCGACCCCACGTAATGGGATAAAGGCATGATGTTGTTGTATTAAAATGGCATAACAATTTTCTTATAGCTATTACACCCTAACAGATCTGGTTAAAAAATATTGCTTTTCACCTTACTTATTTCCAAAAAATAACAGCCACAGAGACGTTTGATAATAATTTGAAAAACTATGAGGAATTCAAGCTTCATAAAGCGATTTTGACTAGCTTACAGTTTGTTTTGCTTTCAAGTGTTTGGAAGCTTCAGGAGGCAAACACCCTTCCAGAAGTAAATTCAGATAGAAATTGAGCTGCAACCAGTTCTAAAGATTTTTTTGGGGAGATTTTATTCTCTTTACAGCAAGGAAATCGATTCTTACAGTATGTTCCAGTAATCTATTAAGCTGAAATAAAGAAAAAACTTCCTTTTAAATGCTCTGATTGGGACATATAAAATGCACTTAATCACATTTGCAGCAGAAGTACAGTTAAAATAATATCTGTCCTAACATAGTAAGGCAACTGAAGGCGTATTGTCCAAAAGTTCTCTTTTTTTTTCTGCTACAAATGTTTAATTCCTACTCTGAACATCTCAAAGGAACTTTAGTAAACATATATAAATTTGCGTTAAGCCAATGAAAATAGAAACATTTAGAATACATGATATTGTTTGTTCAGTGAGAAAGCTGTTAACACTTAAAATAACCACTCAGCTGCCACAATACAGTTATGCCAAACATCACTTCAGAAAGCTGGTAGCAATTACAAACACATTACTAAGTAAAATATTTAGGCTTCGTTTGGGATGTCTTTCTTATTACTTCTTAAAGCAGTTTTCCAGCACAAAAATTTTAATTTTTGTATTAAAAATTTACTTTAAAAAATAGTAAGAAAGCCGTTCCAAATGAAGCCTTAATTTCTTGTGCTACTACTGCATATAATTTCTTGGGATATACATGGAAGGGAGCTGGAATTTGCAAGGTAAATTTACTGACAAGTGTGTATTAGATATTTTATGAGCGTTTCATTTCAAATCATAGCATGTAACGAAACTACAGTTTTTCCACAGGGAAGCCTGTAACTGGCTGTGTCTCAGCTGCGAGAGAACGCAGTTCCTCAATCTCCGGATCTTTGAGCTTCCAACCAAGAGCACCTGCAAACTCTGTTGCTTGCTCTGAATTTTTGGCTCCTGGGATTGGTATCACATTCTCTTGGCAAATTAACCAATTTAGAACCACCTGCAATAAATTGTAAAAACATCACATCATCTTTTGCTCTCAGAAGGGGAAAAAATAAAGTAAAATACTTTCTCATACGAGCATGTAATAAGTTCGTGGTATATATTATGTGTCAAAATTTATCAAAATACACTCAAGAAAGCAATAACACAATTAATCACATAATTGCCGATATTCATGTGCATATGTTAGTTTTGGAAGTGAAAAAGTAACGTAGTCATGGCAGATTTTTAGGTTTCGTTTGGAACGACTTTCTTACTGTTTCTTAAAGCAATTTTTTAGTTAAAATTTAATTTTTTTTCTACTAAAAAGCTTCTTTAAGTAGTAAGAAAGCCGTCCCAAACAAAGCTGCTGTTTAAAGTATCTTTCTAGTATAAAAATTAAAAATTTTGCATTAGAAAGCTGCTTTAAGAAGGAATAAGAAAGCCGTCCCAAACGAAACCTTAGCTAGGTGCATAGAGGATATACTTGTATACAATTGTTGACATTTTGATATCAGTAATAAACGATTTCTTCTTGCATAAAATTGCTAAAAATTGTAGCAGAAAAATAAAACACTGGAACAAAAGATAGAACCTGTGTGGAAGTTTTTCCATAGTTCTGTCCAATATCTTTAATTCTGTTCAACAGAGGTTGCAGCTGTATACAGAGTAAAATGTTTCAGCATAAAAGGATGAAATTGATGTCAAGAAGAAGGCATAGAAAGCATATGGGTCTTGCCTTTGTGAGGAAATCACGAGTGTAAATGCGGCCCCGAGGACCACTTGGTGGGTTCTCTGGTGTATACTTTCCTGTTAGAGCTCCTGAACATATTGAAGAAGTATTTAGAACTCCTGAATGAAATTGATAAACTCAACCTTTTAGAAGTCAAATGCATATTAACAAGAATTGAAGTTTTTTATGACACAAAGTCATTGGTGGTGTAAAAGAAAACTATAATTTTTTCCAAGAGATCTTATTTTTATTGAAGGCGTTTTACTGATTAAAATCTCTCTAAAAGGGTTTAATTCTGGATTAGGTGGTGAAAAAACACAGGTTGCCTTTTGTTGTATGTAAACAGTGGCAAAGGCATTATTTTTCTTAATAAGGGCACATAAATTAATTAATGTTTTGTAGCACTAATTGAATGTTTATAATGAAAAATATCAAAATTGATATTTATCTATGACATATAAAAATTTAGGAGGGGCTTATGTTCCCCACATGTCTTCCTTAAATACGCCATTGAATGTAAGGAATTTCTAACAGCAAAACCTTCTAACAGTAAATACATACTAAAACATAATAGACTCATATGTGAGATAGACCTTTGTCCTCCAAGGAGGATAAACATTCTTATCAAAGTTGTCTACTTCTGTGGTAGCATGCATTGGTGAGACTGTGAGAGTTCATAGAATAGGATGGTATACTAATATAACAACAATAATATCAAACCTTTATCCCACTATGTGGGGTCGGCTATATGAATCCTTTCTTTCCACTGTGCATCGTTAAAAGTTAAATTCTCATTTAAATCTAATAAAGAAATAATATTTCTAAATTTTTTTCTAACAAAGTCTTTTTATATAGGTCTACCTCAACCTTTCTTAACATACAAATCTAATACATCTACTTTCTTAACCGGGTCATCAGAAGGCCACCGTTTTATATGATCAAACCATCTAAGGCGGCTCTCTCTAATCTTATCTTCCACTAGAGCTACTCCAACCTTTTCACGTATATGCTCATTTCATATCCTATCTCTAAGAATAAAGCTGCTCATTCACCTGAGCATCCTTATCTCAGTAACACTTAACTTAATATTATGCTTCTCTTTTAATGACCAACATTCAACACCATAAAGCATTGCATGTCTAACCACCATTTTATAGAATTTTACCTTAAATTTGTGGGGGACTTTTCTATCACACAACAAGCCTGATGCATTTCTCCACTTCAACCATCCAACTTAAATTCTAATAACTATGAAAAATTGCACGACAAATAATAAATACGATATTTGTAGGGGAATACCAGTGAAAAACTAATATCATAATTGCATGAAATTAATAGTAATATTCATCTCAGTCCTTCAATCAGATCATATTTGTGTCATATCTATTTTTACCAAACAATTGCAACTCTTGTAATACTTTGGATGATAGTTTTATCATACCTAACCAAACAATCACCCTCTTTACTCAATAACACAACACAACAGATCATGGAAAAACTCTACAATGCCAAATAGAGCCTGCATCACACTGTCCAATTCATATTCATTTACAAAATGGAAATCACATGTAGATCAAATTTATTAGTTCTCAAAAAAAAAAAAATCATTCATTAAACATACAGGAAACAAGAGGATGATCTGATGACAGGTAACAACCCACCTAGTGAACTCACTTTAACCATATGTTTCACCAATAAAGATCATTGCTATGCTTTAAGAACCATGAACAATCCATTGATTAAATTTCTAATCATTTTTGGTAATCTATCCTATGAAAATATAAATTTCTTCCTGAAATCAAAGTCATCCCTCATGAAAATTTTAAGGAATCTGATGGAGGATCAAACATTAAAAAGAATGCAGGAAATCATGTATTATACTAGCTTTTAATGATGCCAAATAAAATGGGAGATCTTAATCATAAACATTTGGAACTCACACTTATAAATTTAAATTGGACTATATTGACAACCTCCTCCAAGGTGTGAAAATTTTTAAAAACCATCCATAATATAAAATAATATATTTATAGAACTACCATACCTTGAGCAATAGGAGAATATGCAATCAAAGTTACACCCAGTTCATCACAAGCAGCCTTCACCCCATTCTTTTCTGGAATCCTGTATATAAGACTGTAGTTCACTTGATTAGAAGCCAATGTAATTCCACGAATCTTTAGACGGTTGTAGGCTTCTCGGAGCCTCTTTTCTAGAGCAAACAATGAAAAAGACTGATAAGTAGTATATCCAAATTTGGGAGTGAAGTACAGAATAATAGACATCATTTAGGTTTTGTTTGGGATGACTTTCTTATTGCTTCATAAAGCAGAGTTTTAGTTAAAAATTTTTAATTTTTGAACTAGAAAGCTGTTTTAAGAAGAAGTAAGAAAGCCGACCCAAACGAAGCCTTAATAACCTGTTCAGAAGTATTACCACTGTAATTTGAGACACCAACAGCCTTCACTAAACCCATTTCAACAGCATCTCCGAGGCCATCAATATAACCTGGAATTATTTGGAAGTAATAGTTTATCGTTGCAGAATGCATGGAAAAAAGAAGCCCAGATTATTTACAAATAATGGACTTCTTAGGATGTTTGAGAAAAGCTTATAATACCTTCATTTCCCCATATTCCTGGCCTGAAAACTAAAATAAATAAAGTTATCCACAGGTTTAAGGCAAATTTATGAGATAAGCACAGAATGAGTTTGCGACGCAGACCAGTGCAATTGATAGAGATCAACTGATGAAAGCCCGAGGCGAGACAAAGAGCTTTTAAGAGCAGAAATGACACTTCCACGGCCAAACCTCCATGGTAAGGCTGCAAACTTGGTTGCTATGGTTACATCAACTGGACCAGCCTTTTGCCTTTCTTTGATGAAACTGCCAAAAAAAAGAGTAGATGCATCATGATCATCATTATCAACCTCATCCCACATATTTGGGATTTCCTATTGAAATGAATTTTAAAAAAGAAGTGGCATTGCTGATCCCAAATCTGGATGAGAGATGTCCAGGGTTGATGTTGGGTCAACAACCATTTGTAAAACTTATACCAAAATAAAATGAAATGAATCCAAGGAATCCAAATATGAAAAAAGGTATAAACCAGCAAGTTATCAGTTTATGGGACAGAAACCCTATAATAAATTCCTTAGAAAAATGTTCTTAAAAGCAATTGATAAGAACTTATATCCAAAAGAACATGTATAAATATCAATGTAAAACGAATGGAGAAAAGGGAATGCTTGAAGTGATTTTTGTAAGGAATTTCTTACAGGATCTTGGTCACAGTTTCTGGCATCTAAATTCTCCTACTCAGACTGAAATTTTGAGTAACAAAATACAAGAACAGGCAAATGGAGATGTAAAATTGACCAAACATAACTGAAGTTAAAATACCTTCCAATCAATGTTTCTGAGTTAACCGCTCCTGTGATCTGCAGAAGAGAGAGCATCTTTGTTCATTTCTGTCTTCAATGCTAACTAAACAAATAACTAGTAGCATAAAACCAAGAAATGCATATACCCCTGCACCATAGACTTCCGCTGTGTCAAAGAAGTTTATTCCACTATCAATACTTGCATTGAAAGCTGCCTTGGCTTCCTTCAGCTTTCTATCTGGCATTACATTTAGAAAAGGAAAATGTGTTTAAGAGGCCAGAAAACCTTAATAAAGTTCTCCAAAACTGAGGAAAGCAAAATTGACAGCAACTGATGCATATCACTGCTAATATTTACATCAAACAGTTCAATACATTCTTATCGTGTCATATCTTGACTCTATGAAAAAAAAACATACAAGAGAATCTACAATTGTCTTCCTCTGTGAATTTGATGATCAAGAATCTTGCACTTCCTTAATAGATTCATACTTAAACTGAGATTTTTCAGTTTTTTTGTCTCATAATATGTGGCCCAATCAAAGAGAGTGTCGGTTGATATCCACACTGATGTGTCAACAACATTTCCTTTTAAGCGTGTATTTATTTGGGGAGTGGAGCATCACTGTTCAATGATTCTGCCAAAATAAGTACTCTGGGCACATCTTTAAGGGGCTGTTTGGTAGCAGGATTTAGGATGGATTTGAGGCGGATTTGAGCGCAATCTAGCCAAACGGCCTAAAATGCAAAACCAAATCTCACGGCAAATGAAAGCCGCCATAGATAGAAAATTCCGCCTTTTCGTGCTAAATCCCGGATTTCTGAAATCCATTGGCTCCAGAGTAAAAATTTGCTCCTTAAATCAGCTCTATATCCAAACAGTCATATGGGATTTAAAAAGACTTATCATGAATGTTACCAAACAATTTTAAAGATTTAGACCTCTCAGGATTTCCGAAATCTGGATTTAGCGGATTTACAAAATCCTACTTAAAGTAAATCCTGGGTGCTACCAAACAGCCCCTAAGTATGAAAGCTATTGCGCTATAGATTACATTCACTAAGAACAGCAACTTATTGATTCAAACAAAGCCATTGGCAGAACTTCTCTATTAATGAGTAGGGCCAATTCGGAAAGTAAAGTTAGTGCAACGAGCAAGTAAAACATGTAAGCAGCCGATAAAATTAGACAGAAAACAACAATCTTTGACATTAAAATAATACACATAGTAACATACAAAGAAATATTCCAAAAATTAGCATAAGAAATAGAACATCGAGATCAATCATGGCGGCTTCTTATCCAATCAGATAAAATCTATAATTATGAAGAAGTTACCTTCCAAGAAGGGAGAAAAAAATACTCTGATAAAAAACTGAAATTTTGTAGCTTAACAGGCAGCCATAAGCATTCAAAAAGGCATTCAGAGATACATATATGAAAAAAAATATAACAACGTACGGAACTCTAATTAAAGCATAAAAATTAAGTTCACAAGAATAATACTGAAAAGAAACACTAGTAAGTAAAATGACAGAAGAGAATTACCATTCCATTGGAAATCATTCCAGTAAGTGGTATCTCCCCAAGACCAAGCACCAACACCCAATTTAGTAACCTTCAAATCAGACCCTCCAAGCTTCACCTTCTCCTCCTCTCCCGGCAAGGTCGAAACATTCTCAGAAGCTACAGCCTTAACTGAAAGAGGCTTCCTTCGATGAAGAAGACTGAAAGCCACACCATTTACCTGAAGAGCCATGGAAGTCTACTACTTCTTGAAGAAAAAACAAACACACACAAGATTCAGTCGAAAGATTAGGGCTTTCTCCCAAACTTATATAAAAGAACCTAACTTTGCAAGAGCTTCTAGGAGAAAGATTTGAGAGCATAAGTTGCAAAAGAGGACAGTATGCGATGCCTAGGTCTTTCTGCTAAAATTGCGATTTTCTCACAGCTTTTACCTGCTATTGGGGAGAAACAAAAGTGTTTATGAAGTGATAATGATTTTGGAAATGGATGTTGTTTTCTATGGGAGAGGAAGTCCTCATTGGTGCTTGAGGTAGGATATGAATGGCCTTCTACGTGGTCTTGTTGTAAGCATATGGAAGAGATAAGGTGCTCCAGTTTCATACGTGGGCGGAGGGTGCTCCCTAAAGGTACCAGGTAGGAAATCGTTTTGGCAAGGTCAGTCATTCAAACGGTGTGAATTGTCTCTTTCTGCATACATCGATTCCATGAAAGACTTGTGTTCTGTACTGTTCGAGAAGAATGGGGAAGCATATTTTATTTAATTAAAATATTAAAAATTATTATTAAAATTTTTAATTGGAAAAGAATGGGTTCTCCGGTTTTCTACCCTAGCCGCCAGGCTCATCGCCATCTTCCTCCTCATCTTACATCGCCGGAGGTTCCTCACCTCCCCAATGGATCTCTCCCACTACTCACTTGATTTCCTCCCTCTTTCAGCTTTTGTTGGAGGTGCTAGCCCCCCTCCTCCATCGAGAAACTAGAAAAATATGGTTGTTTCCGCTTATCCTTTCTCTAATGACCTTCCCCTCTCCTTCTACCCCTTTTAGCTTGAAATTATTTATTTTCCTCTAGAAAAAGTTTCCATTGGTGCTCAAGAATGGAAAATGTGCCTGGTCGGTTACTCGATCGGTGGCATGCCATTCTTTGAAGCTCTAATCAACCTTATCTGAAAAACTTGATCTATGAGAAGCTCTCTTCAACTTCTCTCACTGAATGACATGTTCTTTCTACTTCACTTCTCTTTGGTGGAGGATTACAAGATGGCCTGGTCTCGTGGTGTTTGATTTTTCATTAGAAAATCATTTATCTTGCAGAAGTGATCCCTTGCTCCAGACACAAACATGAAAACTTCACTATAGCCCCTATTTGCTTTAAGTTGTCGAAACTCTTAGGGGATCTCAAGGATTGCAAGCAAAATAAGTATTCATTTAGATAGACGCCTTGATTGCTAAAAAAACTCACCACACATTCACTTGAGTATGCGTTCAAGTCTCAAATACCTCTACCTAACTAGATCTAATACCCATTTCTATGGATGGGGATGTTTTCAACCCGAGGATACAATATGAATGGAGACCTGCACCATGCGAGTTATGTTGTTCCTTGGTTCACTACTCGTCCTTGTGCCCATCCAAACCTGATTCCACTTCCTCGGATGCTCCCAACACCAGTGGCAAGAGCTTAAGTAGAACAAACAAAAACCCAGCCTAGTGCCTCCCCCCACGATCAACCCAATCGCTTGCAATCTAGGCCTAATTCTGTAATGTCTACTCTTAATCATGACAACATTATTATCCCTACTACATTTAATTCTTTTACAGTTCTCTTCTCTGTTGTAGACTCTGCTTTGACCAACCCTACTTTAATTTCTACCATCCCCACTAATATAGTAGTTATCACATCCCTCCCACCTCAACCCTCAATTACTCCTCCCCTTCCCCCAATCCCCACTATTGTTGTTCCCCCTCCCTCTTCCCTCTCTAAGGACAACCAATCTCAATTCCCTCATAGAAGAATCCCTCCCCACCATCACTTCCCCTATCCCTGTTATAGCTATCCCCATTGGTGTGTTATCCCTTAAAATAAAATTTGGCATCCTACAGCAATTGACGGAAGATCAGCCACCCTTTGCCTCTGTGAATACTTTGCACACTTTTGCCAAGGCCATGGAGATTAATCCTCAAGGCTCATTGTCAATCCAGCAAGCCAAAAATACCAGGGGAAAGTAGTCCAAGAGGCCTCACACCAACCAAAATCTTATTGTATATCCCATTCATTGCGGGTTGGAACATTAGGGGATTCAACAACCTCGAAAACGTTCTTTGTTGTAAGCGTCTGGTCAATCCTTTGAAATTGGATATGATTTGCTCGTTGGAGAATAAGATCCATGCCTCTTCTTTATCTGATCCTCGGTTCTCCTCTGACCGTCAACTACACTCTTTCTGAAAACAGTCGCCCTCTGACTACAGTCCATCTGATCACTGTCGCCAGCTGATTATGATCATACCGACCAAACAAATATGACAACACTCTCTTAAGAACAGCTTCCATACTGTTCTCACACTATGTATTATGCTCTATACAATGTGTATTTAATACATTGAGCCAACATCCTCCTTTGAGGAAGGATATTATTTATAATCAACCACTAATACTAGTGAATTCATTCAAATTAGGCCAAACACTATGATGTTTCTCTCTTTTGAGGGTTTTCACGTAAAATTTCTGGTATCTCTTATGCATGATGCACCTTACTCTTTTGTCTGTTTGTGTGTTGGATCTTCGTGCAAAACTTAAGCTTTATATTTCTCTAATGTTGTGAATATTATAGGATGCAACAATAAGTATTTTGTAAGTTTATGCCGTACAATAAAAAATAATATTTTCTCATAAGCATATTCAATAAATTTTAATACTAAAATACTAATTAAAAATAATAAACATAATATTAAATTAATTTCATGGTAGTACATTAACTATTACCAATTTAATAAATATTTAAAAGTAATTATTCAATCGAAGATTTTTAGAAGTATCTAATAACAAATTTAAGAGAATGTTTCACAATTCATATTCGAAAGGGGGTATATAAATCCAAAACTAATAAACAAAACTTCTATTTGATTAGCCCCTTAATTTTATTACTTTATGATGATAAAACAAGTTAGTTTTAAGTAGAGCATAATAAAATTAAATATTTTTTTTCAGTAGATGTTAGAACTAGCACTCCAATTGGTAGTTGAGAACAAAAAGAAAATATCCAAGGGGAGAAAATAATTTAATTATTATATAATTATGAGTTTTATAGAAAATATTCTATCTTTTCTATTTTTAATTAGAAGTTGAAATAAGAGATACTAAAAAAGTAATATATTAATGTAAGGCATATTTGTTCATAAAAATTGGAAAGCCATGACTAAAAGGGAACTAAATTATATTCTCTTATGAGCAATGGTGGTTTGGATTCTATTTAGGGGTTGTTTGGTTTGCTGATAAATAAATGCATAGTATTTCAAATTTTGGGAATACGGTGTAAATTTTTAGTGAATTTTTTTTTCACTCTCTAATTCTTCTGTGATGCATTGTAAAATTTTAAGGTTTGACTGGATTCCCTTTTCATTGCAAGCTTAATTGTGTTGTTGCCGCTTGCTGACCATTGCCACCCACTTCTATAGCCGTTGATCACCACGACTTGTCACCAACAACCATCGCTTGTTATCATCTACCATTACCCACTGTCAATCGCCACCACTTCAGGTCGTCGTAAGGTTACTCGCCAATAGCTATCGGCATTGCCACTAGCCGTCGGCCTACTATTTGTCATCGTTGGTCATCGCCATCATTTAAGTTTATATTGCATTCATCTTACTTTAAGCTATAAAAAATATTCACATGTATTCTTTTTACTCTCATAAAAATAATTTCAAATATTTTAAATATAATACATTTTCTTACACTATATACATTTTATTTTCCATTTACTTTTTAGCAAAGCAAATAATCCTTTAATTTTAGTCAGTGAGTTGGATAAGATTGGTCAAAATTGGGTCATTATGACCAAATTACTGTCGCATAAAACGACCAAATCCATTCATTTCATAAATTCTCCCATCGAAGGACAAAAATAGCCAATCCGCAATGTAATTTTCATGCCCCAACATAAATCAATTTGGCCCACAACTGTTTTAACAAATACCCCCAAATTCTAAAAAAAAACGCCAAATACTATTCCACCCTCATCTTCAAGAAATTAATATGATGGAGTCGGGATAAAAGAGAATCATCTAGATTTATTGAGTATTTGCTAAGTATTTATGAAATATTTATTGACTTATTTAGTATCATCAAATACTTAATAAATACTCAGCAAATCCAAATGATTTTATCTCTGTGCACATGCTTATACATAGTGTGTACAATTTTGTACACACTGTGTACAAGCATATTAGCAATGTGTACAAGATTTGGATATTATAAATAATAATTCGAATAAGTGTTTCTATATTTTTGGATATTGTTAGCATGACAGTAAATAGTGTGTACTAGCTTGTACACAATGTGTATATTGATGTACACATGTTTAGAGTTATATAGGCTTGTACATAGTATGTACATATATTTTATAAGCTTGTACACTATGTGCAACCTGTACAAAGTGTGTACAAATCTGTAAATATTGTATATATTTTTTTTTTGGGACAGGAAGTATCGGCCTTCAGCCACAAATCTCCCCAGTCGACCTAGTGGTCCACCCACCCCATAGCAACCGGGCCGAGCTCGAGCTCGAGCTCGAGCTCATTAAGGACTAAACGAGCCAGGCTTGATAAGGCAAATACTCGACTCGACTGGCCACCCAAGAGGAGCGAACTGGCGACCAGGGGAATGCCCAGCCAGCACTTACCCACATGAGCTATCCACGGTGGGTAATATTGTATATATGAATATACATACTGTGTACGCCTCGCATAATAATTTCTCTAGAAATTTTTTTTTTATACGATATATAAAAAAGATAAAATCTACGCGTCATCCGAGTTCGGACGAGCACCTGCCACCTAAGTTTCACCGTCGTAAAGTCCGTAACCGTTTGTATAAGTACCCTCATGAACTCTTCTCTTCAAACTCCAAACAATGGAGGAAGAAGATCGGAGGTGGGAGGCCATGGATATGGACTGTCTCTTCATCATCTTCTCCAAACTCGGCCCGGAAGCCATCGACGATCTCTCGGTCTCCATCCCTTTCGTTTGCCGCTCGTGGTCCGCCGCTGCCGGCAACCCTCTGAGCTGGAGAATCCTCAACTTTCGGTCAAACGATTTCATGCCATGGAGCTCCTTAGCCAAGAGATTCAAAGCTCAGTATCGGATCTCAAGATTCTCCTTTTCTGGTTTCATTAAGCTCGCCGTCCGCCTCAGTCACGGCCTCGCCAGTGAGCTTTGGCTTCCCCCGTTGGCCTCTGTTGAGGATTTGATCCTCGCATCAGAATAGTAGGCCCTCAACCATTCATCTTACCTAAAATTTCGTATTAAAAAGCCAAAAAATCATATTTTTTTTTACTCCCATAAAATCTCAGCAACGAATGAGATAAAAATAAAGCAATTGAAATAAAGACGATCTAATCGTTTCATAACAACGATCAGTCCAGGCATGAATACATCAATGCAGGCATAAAAAAGGAGGAAAAACACTCAAAGATTAATAATACATCCAGTTGACATAATTTAAAAAAAAAAAATTATTTCTGGATGTACTTGGCTAATTTTTTTCTCATATTTTATTAATGACCCTTGTATACTTGGTCACTGCAGTTGCCCGAGATTGAGAAAACTAGGCTTGCCCAAACTGACTTTGAATGAAGAAAGTAAGATCCCCAGTCTCTTCTCCAAATGGAAAGAGCTTCAGCAGCTCGAGCTGGAATCAAAGCCTTATAATTTCTCCCAATTGGCAGCCATGATTGGTCAAAATTGCAACGATTTCATTGAACTGAAGATGCCGAGTTCTGCCATCAGCAAAGAAGATGTGTTGGCGATAATTAAATTTCTTCCAAAACTGAGATCTTTGGATCTCAGCAGATCTTATCTGCCTAAAAAGGAACTTCTTTTGATAGTGGAGGGATGCAGAGCATTGGAGAGATTAAGCGTGAAGAACTGTGTTGGGTTCGAAGCAGATGAAGAGGTGAAGACAAAGGCTTGCAGGATTGAGAAGTTTGAGTACGAGGGATCGAAGATGGATTATGAAGGTGGGTTTGAGGTAGATGAATGTGGTGATTTGTATGTTGATGTGATTTGATCCTAACTTCAGTGTTTTAGTGGTGGTTGTTTGATTGATTTTGGTTGAAGGCTTGTTGAGGAATTTTATCAAACAAGAAGGATTCTTCCACATGTTTATCTTTAACCATTAATTAAAAAGGATGTTAAGTGTTAGATGTGGGAGGATTGGCTTTGGCTCCCCAATTGCCCGCTGATACAGGAGAAATAAAATATGTTTATTTCATTGCATTATGTTTTTTATGATCACCTGTATTAGTCTAAGCAGGTTGAATATTTCTTTATAGTGTTCTTGTTTAGATTTAAATGTATGAAGAGAAAGAATGTAGAAACATGTAATAGAATTCATATCTGAATGGATAAGAAAAAGTGCTCAATGAAGCCCTTAGAAGTTCGACAAAAGATATGTGGAAGCCATAAATTATCTTAAGAAGCAAACGAGACTGAGAATGTAAGGCAGCATACAACAACAACAACAACAAAAAATTATAGTAGGAATGATCTAAATTCCGGTGAAACCATGAAGGCAACGAGGTCTTCAAAATGTTTGGATAACTTCCCCGTTGATTCCATTGTTTGATCTTTGATATATCTCAATTAGAACTTCATTCACTACAGGAAAATCGTCTTTTACCGACAAATTTTTTTTAGAGGAAATTGGCAAATTTTCGGCATAAATTAAGATTTATGACAGCTTTCTAGCTGATATTTTTTCGTCAGTAAAAGTTGAGTAACGAAATGACATCCGGTGGCAATTTTTTCTAGCTAATTAAAAAAAGGCCAGAAATTTTAAAAAAAAATTATTAAAAAACCTAGGTTGCCCGCTCGCCTCCCGCACTGACGAATGCCCTGCCTGCCAGCCCAGTTGACCGTGCTGCCTGCATGTGCTGGGATTCGACGCGAGTATGATTTCAAAGACCTAACCAGCTTGTTGGAAGGACAAAATTATTTAAAAGTCACATTTTTTATTTAAAATATAAGAACTAAAATTCGACGGATAAGACTCAAAAAAATATGTAGAAAATTAGTCTGATATTCCGCAAGAAATATGTTGGAAAGCTGTCGGAAAAAAATCCGCATGAAAAATCCGTTGTCGGTAATGGACGATTTTTCTAAAATGATTGCATAATGAAGATGTTAGAAATATCATTTCAATAAAATTTATCTTTCTCTTTTTCTCCAAAAATTTGTAAACTAGACGGAAGATGATTAAAAAGTAAAAATTTTGAGGGACCAACCTAGTCATTTGGACTTAAAAAACAATAAAAGTCATATGCCAACGGAAAAATAAATGATTAGAAGTCCCGTTTGCCAAATGACATGATAAACAATCTTTAGGCCATACTATATAATGTTTTTGTCCATATTGATTCAATCAGTCCAATATTAGGTTTAAATTCGTGATTTTATTCTTTTTCATGTTAGTTTTCAAGAGGTCATCTATCTCAATAGTAATTCATTTCAAGCGAGCTTAACTATAAAATCCCCAAGAAAAAATTAACCCATTATCTTAAAGATCGATGTATTTTAGGACCTAAATCTTTACTTATTGTTTATTATCTTTTCCTCTACTTTTGATATAAAATTTAGTTCATTCATATCCTCTTCTCTTAAATAACTTGCATCCTAGAAACATGGTAGGAGTCACTCCTTGTCTAGAGAAATTATTCTATGCGGAGACCGAACGTAGAACGTCGTCCGGAGACCAACCAAAATCACTACGGGAAAACACGCAATTACCAGTGGAAACAATTGCGTCGGAACACATGGCGCCTGCAGCGGCGCATAGTGCGAAGGAAAATTTACGGCGTTCATTCCGGCGCAAATGACGCCGGAAAGGTGCCGACGTATATTGCACCGATACATATGTCGGAATATACCAGCATTTTAATTTTTTTGGCGCACTTTACAGCGGAAAGTTACCGGCACAGTTACCGGTGGACAATACGCCGACGTTTTTAAACTCAACGACTTAAAACCGGCGTAATGTGCGCCGGAAATGTTTCCGGCATATGGGACACCGGAAAATCCGCCGGCGAAAACCCTATTTCTGAACCCGAGCCCGTCTGGCTGCTCATTTCTTTCGTTCGTTCCTCTCACAACTTTGTTGTTTCCCTCACGCCCTCCGTCGCTCGTCATAGATTGAGGTCGCCGAGCTCTCTTGATGGTCACCGGACGTCGCCGACGGTCCACGCTTCCTCGCCGGCGAGAACTCCATCTCCGATCGCAAGTTGCATATATCCGATCCCGTCTATTGTTACTGCACTGCATTTTTTTTTTTTTACTTTCCTGCATTTTACTTCACCGCATTTATTTTATTGTTACTGCTGCATTATTTTTTATTAAATTTTTGTTATAACTCATGTTTCTAATATTTCTAATTTATTTCTGTGCAAATGACTTCAGATGAATAGCCTAGTAGAGGATTTATCAAAACTATTTTTAACAGGCGCACCAAGAAGATCATTACAGCTGGACCAACTAGGACAGTACGTAATGAGGGGACCACCTCGTCTCAGCCTGTTACACAGTCTCAACCTGCTACACAGCCTCATCCTGCTACACAGCCTTTACCCACTTCTGAAGCCAGTAGACCGTAGTTTTACTCAGCAGACCCCCGATTTTCTTCACCAGATCCCGGGCAGAGTACTCCTTTCTACCCATACTACGCACCTCCACCTTATGCTGGTGCCCCTCCTACTTATTCATATCCACCATATGCTCCATCATACTATCCCCCACCACCCCATCAGCATGCTACAGCTGGACCTTCGCAATTTTTTTTTTGTCAATGCTACAGGTTTCCGGCGGATTGTGCGTTGGAAATTAGACGGAAACGACGATACAACGAATCAGATCAATCATTCCGGCGTTTTTGTGTACGCCGGAAATTACCGGCGCACTTTACGGCGGATAAGACGTCGTAAATGTCTGACGCCGACTTTGCGCCGGAAATAAGCCGTTACTTCTTTACGGCAAACCTACGACGGTTTATGCGCCGGTAGTTTCCGTCGGATCAATACGACGCAAACTACCGACGCAATAGTCGTCTGAATTTTCGATTGAAAATCACCGTTTTTTTAGCATATTTTGCGCCGGAAAGTGCGCCAGAAGATTTTCCGGCGCATTATAAACGTCGGTAGACATTTATCGACGCTCGCCAAACCGGCGCACCAAAATCTGACGGAAATGCGCCGGAAACCAAGGAATTCTGTCGGATTTATGTGTTACCGGCGGATCATGTCTGCCGGTAATAGCGTGTTTTCCTGTAGTAAATGTGCCATGTCAGCGGTATCGAACCACGGTACCGAGCGGTATTGAACCACGATACCGAGAAGTACCGAGCCGCAGTACCGAGTATAGGGATGATGTGGCGCATTCTGGTTAGTTTTCAGACGGGGTTTGACGTCCGCACAGAATAATTAATCGCTAGTCTAAGCCTCAACCCTCCAACTTTCACTCTCTACCATATTCAAGCTACTCACCTTGAATTGCACTGCCTGAGTGTAGGAATTCATCTATATATAAGTGTAGGCTAAATTTATTGAAAGCATCTAAATGATGCATGTGCTATGAAATTTTTTTTTGATAAAGTATGCTTATTGGACTAATTAAAGTTCTTATTTAACATAAAAAAATTAATAAAAATATTCTGATGAAGTGAAGGAATCAAATTATGATTCCAATGGACTAATCAGTTCAAACGTTGGAAGGATAAGATTTTTCTATGACATCACGTGTTAGTTGTTCTTGACCGGCATCTATAAATTTTCTTCATTCTAAGTCCGTCCTTGGACGAAATTGACCGTTACTTTGATCTAAGAAAAGTTAATTTCTATAGACAAATTTGACCGTTACAAACTTGAATTTACTTGACTAATGAATTGGAATAAGGATTAGTTGCTGTTGACCAGCATTTTCTTCTTCTTCTTTCCCCCAATCTCCAAACACCAATCTCCTCCTCCAACTAACTCTATGGATCACCACCCCACAGCCGAAAACGGGAAAACATCCCCCCTTGATTGCCTCTGACCTCACAATTTCAGCTTTTTTATTACTTCTTGAAGCAACTTTTTAGTATAAAAATTAATTTTTTTTACTAGAAACCTGCTTAAGCAACAGTAAAAACCGTCTCAAACAAAACCTTCATGGTACAAAGCTTCCTCAAGCTAGCCATGGCACGAAGGCAAGGGGCCACCTTCGAGCTCCGCTTCTCCTCCCTCTTCCCTCCTTCCATGCAAGTTCTATCTCTTGCAACAACCATTTGCCCAAGGTTGAAATTCCTGTTCTTGCCATGGATATAGTTTGATGATGAAGTTATTATTATTATTTTTAATTTGATAAACAAGTGGAGTGATCTCGAATGGTTACTGATATGTACTTGTTTCTTAGTACTGTAAGCAAGCAAATAAATAAAGTATATTAAAATCATCCAACTTCTTCAAAACTACAGAGACTACTTGGCTCTTCCAAAGCGACATTATGATCATTTGAGGTGAGCATTTGCTCTCTGCATTGGCTCCAAGTGCTAGAATGCGCCGTACAAAATCTAACTTGATCAGATACAAAGATGAAATATCAATACTGTTATATCATAAAAAAAAATTTTGATTTGGCATGAATCTCGAGGCAAAATCAAGTTTTTCGAAATTAAATATGGAGCCATACAAACTTTGATTTCAGCAAACATACAGTCGAACCGAACGTCTCAAAAATACAAACCCAACGACACCAAATTCAACTCAATCCGAGCCCAAATGGGTCCAAATCAAAGACCCGAAGCTCATTTATAAAGTTCAAAACATAAATTGGATAACCAAACGATTTCCAAATGTGACATGCTTATAATTGTATCGAATTGCTCGACGAGAAGAATCCAACGAGCCCAAGATCTTAAAATTTCGATATCATTAAGACATTCAAATACCCAATAAACTGTCCAAGATTAGGGGGATCAATATCAGCCGTCCATTCAAATCACTCCCAAATTACCTTTGATCTTCCTCTTATTTACTAGTCATGCTACTCTAAGAAAATTATAAATAGACCACTCATTCCTCATGGAGCTAGGGGGATCAAAACAAGGAAGAGAATGAAGAAAAGAAACTAGAGTTATCTTGCTATCAGACTACTCCTCGACCATCGCCAAACTTCCACCCGGCTACCGACTGAAGCCAAATTTTTGCCCGGCCATCGACTGACGCCGAACCAACGCCGGACTTCCACCCGACCACCGACTAAGGCCAGATATCTGCCCGCCACCGACAGACGCCAGACTTCTGAAACCCATATTCAGACGTATGGCCGGGAGCATTAAATTGCATTGAACAACTATCATTTATTTGATGTAATATGGATGGATAATCTTTCTCATACTTAAGGAATGAAGTTCATAGAAATATTAAATTTCACTTAATTTCTATAAGTAAAGATCTTTTTATCCTAAAATATTGGTTCATAGTCCAAAAGACACAAATATATATGCATTATATATATCTTTCACATTGAACAAACTCTTATTTTAGATTTTACTTTTCTTTTGAAAATGTGAGGGGTTGTTATATTTTATGTTTTTCCAAAAGAAAATTTGT